CTTCTTTGGCCAATTGAATGTTCAGACTATCCGAAATGGTTTCCATGACAGAGTTGCAATCCTGTAAAAGGACCTCAAGTAGATGCCTCCGCGTCAACCATGCTTGGAAGACCAGCCCACGGATCGTAGACAAGTGACGTCAGTTGATTATAGATTGACTTGGCAGCCCCAAGTCATAGAAAGACAAGTTGGAAACCCTGGTGAATTATAGGGTGGATATATGCGAATATATTATGGAACTACCATCCTGGGAAACTGTTCGGCATTTTTCCCCAAACAGTGTGGCCACACTGAAGGGGTTCTTACGGTAAGTGTTAAGGCCAGGTGTTCAATCGAGGTGGTATCGGTCGCGTCTGGCATTTTCCCTGTAAATTTCTACGCAACATGCATCTTGTGACATGTCCATGTGCATTTCGACTGCGCAGGCTCGCACAAAATGGGTGTCGCGGGATACGCGTATGGCATTTAAAAAAAATTCTACGCGACATGCATCTTGTGACATGTCCATGTGCATTTCGACTGCGCAGGCTCGCACAAAATGGGTGTCGCGGGATACGCGTACGGCATTTTCCCTGTAAATTTCTGCGCAAAATGCCTCTTGTGACATGTCCATGTGCATTTCGACTGCGCAGGCTCGCGCAAAAAAGGGTGTCGCGGGATACGCGCACAGCATTTTCCCTGTAAATTTCCGCACAAAATGCCTCTTGTGACATGTCCATGTGCATTTCGACTGCGCAGGCTCGCACAAAATGCTTGCCATGGGATACGGATACGGCATTTCCCATGTAAATTTCTGCACACAATGCCTCTTGTGACATGTCCATGTGCATTTCAACTGCGCAGGCTCGCACAAATTGCTGGCCGCATCATCATCATCATCATCATCGTCATCATCATCATCCTCATCCTCATCCTCATCATCATCATCATCAACGACGTTATAATCCATTACCTTTTTCCTTCCTCCACACTGTTTGGGGTCTCTTGCCGCGATAATTATTTTTGGGACTCCTACAAGCCACTTGTGAATCGGATGGTGCTGGGAACTAGTGACTTTCTAATCATGAGCCACCAGTCCTGAATCGGCTGAATCCATTGGTGATTCTAGCTGATGTTCCTTAAGGCTGCCATCATTTTTATCGGTTACCCTAAACTAAACTCTCCTTTTATTTTTACTAGAACCTCCGCTTTGAGCTTGGTGTGTTTGGTGTATGGCAACAACAGAAAATCACGTGGAAAGAAAACCGTGGTTTTGCTTTGCTACACCAAAACTTTCCATTTCGATTGCTAAACCACCAGGCAAACCCTTTGTCTTTCCGGCTGACCCTCCAAGTGGCCCGGCTGCCGCAGATATCCGCATATGAGACCGCCCCGCTGCTGCCCCATTCCGCACCGCCAGAAAAGTGAGGTTTGAACCGGGTGCCAAAGAAATTGAGAGCTTTCATAGACTGGACTTGACGTAGCATATCCTAGGATGACTTTCGATTTGATATGTTTATTCAGAATTCATATTCAATTTGTTTATTCTTGTTTTTTTCTTGTCATGGTGATTTCCAGCAGTTTGCCAAATACGAACCTGGGTGTTTTGAAAGACCTGAACCTCACGACAGGCAAAGTTTCTAAACGACGACCGGCTCGCAACACATCCATGCTCTGGGCCAGGGATTTTACCAACAAAACCAGTAATCCAAACCAACCGCACTAGGGATATATGATATTACGGGATCTAAGATTACATAGAATCAACAATATTATATTTGAGGGTTTGTCCAAACATTGGATACAGAATACAAAATGTATTTTTTCCTGATAAACTGATGTTTTTTGGTGATTATGGGCACCCTATTCCTGGAACCCATGTATGATTGTGTGTATGTGTATATGGGGGGTTCCATAGATGGGGGTATCCCAACATGGATGGTTTATAATGGAAAATGCCATTAAACTAGATAATTTGGGGGTGCCCCGATTTTAGCAAACCCCCATATGTATGTATTCATAGCATGTACATAGATGGATGGATGGATCGATAGATGGATAGATGGATGGATGGATGGATAGACAGACAGACGGATAGATTGATGTTCACACCTACATATATTATATAATCGTATATATCTATATACGTACATATACGTACATATACATACATGTACATACTTATACATACCTATACCTATACCTATACCTATACCTATACATTCCTATACCTATACATTCCTATACCTATACATTCCTATACCTATACCTATGCCTATACCTGTACTGCATTCTTGAGAGCTTGCACTAAAGAATCGATCCCTCTCTAAATTTACCTTGCCTTGTAGGTGTTGATGCATGGCTGGTTCATGTAGGCAGATTGTGGAGCTTAACTGTGAGCGTGTGGGTTGGCCCCTTGTGTGAAATTGCACATTGTTGATTTGTTAAGTTTCCTGACAGTGTGAGCTGTGAAGTAGTTCCCCTGTGTATGGTGCACTTGGATAGTGTTATCTTGTGGATTGGCTAGCCCTTGCCTGGTGGTTAGATTTCTTTTCTTGTGTTTTGCTGCGATGTTGCGTGAGCGACACCAGGTGGGTTTAGGCCCTTATTATGCGCGTGCTGGAACTGCGCCTCCTTGTCCTGGCCCCTCCCACACTGTCGTGAGTCAGCGGGGGTCGGGCCTGGCTGCTCCAGTGATTGGCGTGAAGCCAGACACTTGGTCTTCATGGCCGAAGTTGTCAGATGCTATGCCCCGTGGAGGAGTTGATTTAGTTGAACATCATGCAGTTCAAGGATCAGGTTCTTCCAGAGTTGGTCCTATCATTGGGATTGGTTCAGGCCGTCACGCTGAGGAGTTAGAGCTTCAGAAATGGTGTGATGCATGGATTGCAACTTTGACACCGTTTATCTCACAGGCTCCTGCATTTGCGGAACTAGGCTTCTTGGCGCAGTCGTCCTTAGATCGAGTTCTACATCAAAAGGCCGCTTCAACTTTGCGCCGCCATCTGCCAAGTTGGCGGCTTTGGAGTCAATTTGCGTTACATCAAAATTGGCCAGTGTATGATCCTCCTTTGATTGACTTGGTTGCATTTATTCAGGCATTGGTGGCAAACGGCAAGTGTTTAGGTGGTGCAAAGTCTTCCCTTTGTTCTTTGAAGTTTGTTGCATCCCTCATGGGGTGGAAAGCTTGGCTCGACACGTTGGCGCACCCAGTGATTCTAGCTTGGTGTGAGTCACCAGCCACAGGAGTACCTTGTAAAGAAGCTCTTCCCCTTCCCCTTTTTGTGGTTGCTGCCTTTGAAGCGCAAGTCCATGAAGATCTAGCTACGTCGGTGACTCAAAATACGTTGGCTTTAGTTGTCTTTTTGATGATGGTATGGGGCGCTCTGCGTTTTAGTGACATTCAAAGAATTGATGTCAGTTCCATCTTTCTCGAGCGAGGAGTTGTGCGGGGACGTTGCTATCGAACAAAATCTGCTCGGGATGGTATGCCCTTTGGTATATTGACCCTTGGGCTCTACGCTGCTTGGGATGATTGCGTTTTACAACTTTGCAATGCTATGCGACAGTGTGATTTTCTTTTAACTGGCCCTGGGGGTGCACGCGCGAACTTTGCCTATGCACTAGGTCTTCTTCGCAAACTTTTGGTTTCGGTTGGGGGTGTGTTACCTGAGCAAGCATGTAACTACACGTTACATAGCCTTAAGACCACTGGCTTGTCTTGGGCCCTGCAGCTTGATGTTGATCACACTCAACGTCGGTTGTGGGGCCATCATCGTGGAAGAGATTCTGGAACAAAGATGGCGAGCAAATATAGCCGCGATGATGTGTTGCCAGCTCTGCGGGCTCAGTTGCATGTGCTACACCATGTTCGTCAGGGTTGGGTTCCCCTAACACCCCAAGCTAGAGGATCTTCGCCACCTGCCTCAGAAACAGTGCCTGCGCAGCCGTTGCCATTGTTATCTTGGATACCTAGTGGTTTGCAAGTGCCCGCTTACCAGGTTAGGTGCAATGCTGACAATGGTTCAGAAACCGAAGATGATTCGGAGTCAAGTTCTTCTTCGTCTATGTCAAGCGACTCTGACTCTGATGAGGCTTCTGTGATTCAGGTTTCGACGCAGCCTTTGACAGCAGGAGTTTTTGTGGTAAATACTTCCACTTGTTTTTATCACGCAGCAATTTGCCTTGGAACTGATGAATTTGCTCGAGCTTGCGCTCCACGGCAAGTTCTGCGCCCACCGAGGTGGGAGGTATGGCATTCCAGTCCAGCAGATAGTGAAGAGATTTATTTGCCCTGTGCTCATCCGGCTTGTGCAGCTGCGGTGTGATGTCCTTGTGGCCATGTCCACTAGTGTGATTGCTTGCGTCCATTACGCGGACAGTGTGCCAGCTTTAGCGCCCGGATAGCGTAAGTAGTGTTAATTTACAGGCTGCTTTGGTCATTGTTGGTCGTTGCGTTGCGTCCGTGTGGCGCGGGTTGAGCTGTGGTATGCTCAGTGGGGTGCGTCCGTGTGGCGCAGGTTGAGCCGTGGTGTGCTCTATGGGGTGCGTCCGAGTGGCGCAGGTTGAGCTGTGGTATGCTCAGTGGGGTGCGTCCGAGTGGCGCAGGTTGAGCCGTGGTGTGCTCAGTGGGGTGCGTCCGAGTGGCGCAGGTTGAGCCGTGGTGTGCTCAGTGGGGTGCGTCCGAGTGGCGCAGGTTGAGCCGTGGTGTGCTCATTGGGTGCGTCCGAGTGGCGCAGGTTGAGCTGTGGTGGGCTCTGTAGGAGTTATCCTAGGAGGCAAACTGTTTGTGGTAAGATTATTTGCTGTGCATCAGGGCATGCTTTATTGAGTCATAGATTGAATTTTGCGTATGCCTGGCGCGGATGTCGCCTTTTGTGTCCAAAGTGATGGAAGGTTGCATGTAAAGTTTTCATATTCGGCTTTTCCTTCTTGTGCTATAGCGAACATAGATCGTGTGTGCTGTACTTGCAAGAGATTACTCTCGCTTGATTCACATTTCATTTGATTGTGTTTTGCTCATGACGGCAATGGACTGCACAGAGACGTTCCAATCCTTGTGCGCCAAGATTGGGGTAGTTGATCCGATTATAAAAGCCTTGGAGTCCCGCGGATTTACAACCCCAGCAAAATTCTTTTGGCCATTGAAAGAAGGCTCCGAGGAGACTTTTGGTGCAATTTTGGATGAAGCACAGATAGACATCAAGGCAGCTGCATCCATGCTTCAGTCTGCAGAAGCCGGGTGTTTGCGCCGGCTTTTGCGTGAGTGCCGCACAATCTGCGATGGCCCGCCAAGTGTAGCAGCACAGGCAGCACCTGCCGTACCTGCCAAAGTATCTTCCAATCTGTTTGGCTTCGATGTTGGCCCGCGACTCACAAGTGATGCTCTGCAAAAATTGTGGTCGGATTTCACGGAAAATTATCCGGCAGAAGTGATCGTGGGCGATACCAGACCTTGCAAGGCGTTGGTTCAGATGGTCTTTGCGCAAAAAGCGGCCACTGAGCTCCGTTTCATTCCATGGCGGCAGATTCTCAGTGAAGCGCAAGCGGATCGCGCCAAACAAGCGGGGTACAAGGAGAAGACCTTTCTTGATGTGCTGGCTGATGCTGCGGGACATGTCAACGCATTGGAGCAAGACCCGTCGCCTTCTCATTATGGTGTTCAGCGTTTGCTTTTATTACGTTCAGTAGCATGGGCATTAGTAGGTTGGTGCCACCTTGGTGCAGGTCGACGATTGGTGCAGGCATTCATGGGGCTGTATGCCGCTCCTGGTTTGGCGTCACTGGGTCTTCGATCCCCAACTCTGGCCGAAGCAGAACATGCAGATGGCGAATTGTGTCGTCAACTCAATGCCTTACTGAGTGATGGATTCCATTTTGATTCCGCTCTTCATGAAGTGGTGGTGGTGCGCCACAGCTTGCAAATGTGGCTGCAACCCAAACCCAAGGTGGTCAATGCAGAATCGGTGATCAGTGCCAAGGGGCCCAAGCGCACCTTGCCGCAGCCGCTTGTTGATGCCAAGAGGCCACGAGGCAGGCACGGAAAAGGGAAAATGTCTGAAGCCCCACATCAAAAAGGGAAGCCGCCTTGTTTCGCTTTCAAACAGCATGGCAAATGTTCTTTTGGTGACGCTTGCAAATTTGATCATAGTGCCGTGGAGTGACTATTTGCCGGCCCAGCAAAAAGTTCGGTGGTGGATGCGAGCAATGATTCTTGCGAGTTGCCTGCGTTGACGCCCCATGAGGCGGTAGCCCCTTCGCCCCGCGCCGCGCCGGTATCAATGGCCGCGGCTTTTCCCATCGCTGACGGGGGAGGATGCGCTTCTTCTGCAGATTGGTTAATTCCACGTGCTGATTCTGATGTGCTGCGTGACCTTCGGAGACATTTTCAATCTTTAGTTGTTTCCTGGGGGGTTGTCGAGCGGCTTCAAGCCCATTCGCAGCACCCAAATGCAAATTGCTTGTTTTCTCCTGAGGAAGTACATCAAGCTCAGCGCGATCTGGTATCCTTTTTGCGGAACAAGGGGTTTGATTGTTCAACAAAGGTGTCTCCTTATCAACCCTTTTTGCTTGAGGCGTGGTCTGCATTAGCTGCTTGTTGCGATGACAAGGATGCCTTGCTTCCCCGACTTTTGGAGCGCGGTGTACCCACAGGTGTAGTCTCTCCAATTCCATTTTCAGGTATTTGGGAGCCGTCTGAACCTGCCCCTAACCTTGGTTTAGATGACCTGTCAATTCATTTACAGCCTTGGCGCAGTGGTTTAGACCGTGAAGACCTTACTCTGGAGCTAATGCTGAAGGATGTGGCAGCAGGTCATGCCTATGAACTGATTGGAGGGGAGGCGGAAGCGCGACAGCGGTGGGGTGATCTGGTTGCCGCGGGCAAGTTAGGAATAGCACAGCCGCCTGGAAAGAAACCACGTCTCATCGGGGATGGGACGATTTCGGGAGCAAACCATCATTGTGTCATTGAGGAGAAGGTGCGCCTACCAACCTTTGAGAGCGTCCAGCGCTTCATGTCATTATCTGGTCCCGATGTACAATGGGGGGCTTTGAGTTTTGATGTGAGAGGGGCACATAAATTGGTCAATGTGTCTCCTGCTGAACAGGGCCTTTCCTGCTTCGTTGTCCAAGGTCGTTGGTTCGTCTACAGGTCTTGCTATTTTGGATGTCGTTGGGCGGCCTATTGGTTTTCAAGAGTGGGTGCATTCTTGGTCCGTCATTGTCATCGCTTTCTTTGGGTCCAACATGGTCTATTCATCTACGTCGATGACGGTTTGGCCCTTTTCCCACATAGAGTCTGCCCAATCTTGTCAGCAACTCTGCTCTTGTTTCTCGCTGCTCTAGGAGTTCCGCTGTCGTGGGAGAAGGTGCGTATGGGAGGTCTACAGCCGTGGATTGGTTGGTCTTTTCATTGGGATCGTGGCTTTGCGGAACTACCAGACAACAAGCGACAAACCTTGTTAGGATTGCTCACGGAACTGACAACACCCGGTCGCAAGGTACCCCGCAAGACTGTGGAGCGCTGCATAGGCATGTTGGTGTGGTTCTGTGGTGGGGCCTACTGGTTGAAACCATGGCTGCAGAGTATATATCATTTATTGTTTAAACCTGCATGCGTATTTCGCTCTGTGTCTAGTGGGCAGTTTGGTGCTCTTCTTGGGACCCTTACGAACAAACTCATGTTTCTCGAGATTTGATGGATTGCGATATTCTGCATGGTTGGAAACTTCATTCTGTTTGGAACTGCCCAATTGATTCACTTGACAGTGAGCCGTTGCGAACTCCCCGTATTCGTCAGGGAATGATCAGCTGTGTTTTTTACAACTATTCAAGCCCCACTATTCAATGTAACCGAGCCGCAGCATGGGCTGCCCAGCTTTTCTTGAGGGCAGTGGAAAACCAAGTTCGCATTCCTTTGCGCGTTTTGGAGCCCGGGCGTGTGCGGAGTGCAGCTGACGCATTTGCAACAGGACAGCGTGCAGGTGTAGGAGGTTGGTGGGCTGTCTCAGAAGATGCGCTGCAACAGTCGAAGGTGTTTTGGTTTAGTGAGATGCTAGACTCGACGTCTTTGCCTTCCTGGTTGTGTGCGAAAGAGACTTTGCAGCAGGATATTGCTTCCTTTGAAGGCGTTGCGCAGCTATGTTTGCTTGTTGGACGGACAGCAGGTCAGGTTCCACCACCTGGTGTGACGCTGCGTTTCCACCAGCTTTGCGACAACATGGGCACTGCCGCCAGCTTGCGGAAGAAATTGTCTATGCAAGTGCCGTTGTCTTATGTTTTGCAGGCCATGGGCTTTCATTGCTGCAGATTAGGCATTTGTTTAGATCCCCAGCATGTGGCTGGTGTTCGAAATCAATGGGCCGACAACCTCAGCCGGAATTGCCTAGAAGGCTTTGATCCGGGTCGACGCGTTCGACTGAATGTTCGAGAGTTGTTGGAGGAGCCTTGGTGTGGCTTTTCTTGACGGAGTGGTAACCACCTTATCAGTAGGGGTGCTTGATGAATTCTGGCGAAGGGGCTGGTGAGGTGGGGCTGCTGCTGGGCTGCCACCCAGCAGTGGTCCCACCTGGATTCATCTGCGCATTGAAAAGTGAGTGCTTGGCCAGAGTGCCTGTGGGTGGTTACTTAGGTTTTATCTAGCAAGTAAATTTTGTAGAGGTACTGCATTCTTGAGAGCTTGCACTAAAGAATCGATCCCTCTCTAAATTTACCTTGCCTTGTAGGTGTTGATGCATGGCTGGTTCATGTAGGCAGATTGTGGAGCTTAACTGTGAGCGTGTGGGTTGGCCCCTTGTGTGAAATTGCACATTGTTGATTTGTTAAGTTTCCTGACAGTGTGAGCTGTGAAGTAGTTCCCCTGTGTATGGTGCACTTGGATAGTGTTATCTTGTGGATTGGCTAGCCCTTGCCTGGTGGTTAGATTTCTTTTCCCCCCCACCCACCGCCAAAGAAATTTGGATTTGGTTTCAGCTTCTACTAGCTGGTTTTTGACAGGCACGTGTTGCCCCAGTGTCAGGAAACTCTCGATCCAGGTATGATGGCAGAGATCTGCATGAATTATAGAAGAATTGAGAAAATTCATGGTTTGCCTGCTTGAGCCCATGTGCTCATAGCCCAAGAGGGCTGGTGAGGTGGGGCTGCTGCTGGGCTGCCACCCAGCAGTGGTCCCACCTGGATTCATCTGCGCGTTGAAAAGTGAGTGCTTGGCCAGAGTGCCTGTGGGTGGTTACTTAGGTTTTATCTAGCAAGTAAATTTTGTAGAGATACCTATGCCTATGCCTATACCGATACCTATACCTCTTCCTATACCTATACCTCTTCCTATACCTATACCTATACATACACATATACATACACATACACATACATACACATACACATACACATACTACACATACTACACATACTACACATACTACACATACTACACATACTACACATACTACACATACTACACATACTACACATACTACACATACTACACATACTACACATACTACACATACTACACATACTACACATACTACACATACTACACATACTACACATACTACACATACTACACATACTACACATACTACACATACTACACATACTACACATACTACACATACTACACATACTACACATACTACACATGCACATACATATATACATGCATGCATGCATACATCCATCCATCCACCCATACATACATACCTACATACATACATGCAAATATACATACATACACATACACATACACATACATATACATATACATATATACACATAAATATATACTTACATATTTACACACACATATATATACATATATATATATACAAATATGTTATATACATACACATATACATATACATATACATATACGTTTACAAATACATATACATACACATACACATACACAGACATATACATACATGCATGCATACATACATACATGCATACATACATACATACATACGTACACGTACGTACACGTACGTACGTACGTACACACACACATATATATATACATAGATATACAGATACATTTTCATTTACATTTACATATACATTTACATATGCATGTACATACATATGTAAATACCTGTACATACGTATGATACATATGATACGCACATATCTATATATACACATACATATTTACACATACATATACATTCACACACATACAGGTACATACATACATATACGTACAGATGCACACACCTGCATACAAATTGCACATACAAATACACATATATGTGCACACGCATTTACACACACATATACACATACATATACATATACATAAATACAAATACCATACGTACAGGTTCATTTAGATATAAAGAGATTGATGCATATACATAGAACAAACACATTCAGATTCATAGGGACATATACACAGATAGAAAGATAGATAGATACCTGTATACGTAAATACAAAGATAACATATACATAGATGCATAGATTCGCATATAGATAGACATATAGATGCATAAATACATAGATACATAGATAGATAAATAGATCGGTTGATAGGTAGATAGATTAGATAGATAGATAGATAGATCGATAGATAGATAGATAGATTAGCTTAGCTTAGATTAGATTAGATTAGATTAGATTATTTTAGATTAGATTAGATTAGATAGATTAGATAGATTTGATAGGTTTGATAGAAATGATAGACTAGATAGATTTGATAGATTTGATAGATTAGATAGATTAAAACGATTAGATGTATTAGATAGGTTAGATAGATTAGATAGATAAGATAGATAAGATAGATAAGATAGATAAGAAAGATAAGATAGATAAGATAGATAAGATAGATAACACAGATAAGATAGATAAGATACACAACACAGATAGGATAGATAAGATATATAACACAGAAACGCAGACAACACAGATAACACAGACAAGATCGATAAGAGAGATAAGATAAGATAGAAAAGGTAGATAAGATAGACAC